GTGGGGAGTTTGCTTATTCTCTTCCAAAGCTGAGAACGAATGAGTTAGCCACAGAAATTCACAGGTTTTCACAAGAGGGCCAGTCCAAGCTTCGCTGAATACTATTCGGTGCCACCGCCAAGGCGAATCGCGCACAACTGCTATATGTCCAGCACTAATAGTCATTCTGGTTGTTGTATTACGTGACTTTGGATCAAGTAGCATATAATAAGAAAAGGAGCAAATATTTGTTGCAAAATGCGAAATGTTCCCTTAAATTGAGGTTCCTTCTCCTCTCTTTTTTCGGTTTGGCTAACTATTAAAAAACATTCATTTAGGAAAGGCGCTGATGTTCTGGGTGCTACGTGACGGTTCTGGTTACCTTCAGTGTGTTCTTAGTGACCTTTTGGTAGGTTTTCCTCAAAATGTTCCTTTTAATATTTACTAAATCTTATGTTTTTCCTTCAAATTGGTAAAAGCTTCTAGAATATATTGATGATTTTAGTGTCAAAGTTATGATGCGGTAACGCTGAGTACGGAAAGTTCTGTCGAGGTGTATGGTACTATCAAAAAGGTAGTTGTGATAATTAATTTTTTATTCTTTGCAATATTTTCATTTCTGAACACCGTGCTTTTGCGGCGAATTAAACACGTTTTTGAAGTTTTGCTTCACTAGGTACCTGAAGGAAAGCAAGCGCCTGATGGTCATGAGTTGATCGTGGACTATTGGCGATTGATTGGTTCAGCTCCAGCTGGAGGCATTGACAATGTCTTGAACGAGGAGGCAGGAGTTGAAGTGATGCTCGACAACAGGTATCTGCTGCATGTTATCGCCACCTACTGCTCCATTACTTACCTGTACTAGAAATTTGGGCACAGTTCCGTACAGGGGGAGCTGCCTTTTCGCTGCTTCCTATAGTCGTGTGGAGCCATCAAGTGGATAGAGAAATCATTTGTACCAGCAAAGTTTATAGGTACTTGTAGAGACACCTGTCAACCCTTGAAACATTTTCACGACGATGGAAAGCACTGGAAGTGCAAAATGCTCCGCCTTCCTCCCATGACGGAACTGTTTTCAGTTTTTTTTTCTTTACACAGGAATGTTGTTCCTCCATTTTCGGGAAAATTGACCCCATTTGCTATTTTTTCAGGCATCTTGTCATTCGTGGTGAAAATGCGTCCCGTATATTACGAATAAGAGCCGCAGCAACTCGGGCCATGCGTGAGCATTTCTACCATGCTGGCTATACTGAAGTTTGTCCTCCAACGCTTGTACAAACACAGGTGAGTTCCAGGTTCCGACAAATTTTTAAGAAGTTAGAGCCGTTTTGCTCAACCAGCTTCTATTTCCTTTAGAACTTGGCGTAATGTTATATTTTGATGGTGTTTTTTTATGCGAGTGGGGTGTATGAGAATTTTTTTTTGATGGCCTGGCATTTCGACCAGATAATCGTCTTTGGATCCCTAAAACGTGGCTCGAAATTTGAGAGTTACTTTATGGACCGCCGAGCGCCTTGTCACTCAGCGTTTCTGACGGAGCGTTGGAAAAACCGAAAGTTTCGACTGGGAAGGACCTAATAACCTTGGGGGGGACACCTGTAACGCTTGTCAGCATACTAAAACCTGTAGACTGTATACATGCGACTAGACAACCTTGTC